TGATGTCTGTGAAATCCAGCCTACAGTGTTGTATTCATCTTAATATGAGGTTAATAGGAGCATCAAAGTTTTGTTTCAGTCAGTCATTTCATAATGATTTCAGTCTTTTACATGGCCTTACTCAATATGTAAGATATCAAGGTTATATTTTTATGTTCTTTACATTATGTAGGATTATTTTATGTACAAAACGGTTACTAATAAAATGACTTTATCTGGGTTTTCACAGTCACATTACTCATAACTGAAAAGTAATTTTAATAAAAGTATAATTTCAATAAAAGTATACATATCTAATAAAAGTGCACATATCTCACTCACTCGGGTGAGTGAGATATGTATAGTTTTTAAAGGATCTGAATGCATCTTCCACCACTGATTACCAGTCATGTACGCAAAACAACAGTATGCTATGATAATCAATATAGCTATAGCTTCCCAGAGTATTTCTATTTTTAAGGTCACTACTTTTTGTATTTTAATGTTTATTCTGTTGTCAATGAAGCTTTAAGTGATGATTCCATATTTATAGTGCTTCAGAAGTGTTTTATTTTTATTCTTTGTGACAAAGAAATAATGGTCAAATCTGTTCTTTTGCTAGACACCCACAACAGAGGCAGAATGGCGGAAAATAGCATATGACTTTCAATCTAAATGGCAGTTCCCACATTGCTTAGGTGCGCTTGATGGTAAACACATCCGTGTACAGCCTCCAGCAAAAAGTGGTAGTCTTTACCATAATTACAAGTCCAGCTTCTCTGTAATAATGATGGCTGCTGTGGATGCCAATTACAAGTTCATCTACGCCAGTGTGGGTACCCAAGGTAGAGTTTCTGATGCTGGACTGTTCGCTCAGTCAGACTTGCGCCAAGCGATGGATCAAGGCCTGCTGAACTTTCCTCCACCCGAACCATTGCCCAGCAGTGACATAATGATGCCATACATGTTTGTGGGTGATGAGGCATATCCTCTAAGGCCTGATCTAATGAAGCCATATCCCTACAGGCAAATGGATCACAGTCAACAGGTACTAAACTACCGTTTGTCAAGAGTGCGGCGAGTGGTAGAGAATGCATTCGGCATTCTTGCCAACAGGTTAAGAGTTTTTAGGAGCACCATATGCTTGGAGCCAGAGAAGGTAGTCAAAATAACTATGGCCTCCCTATGCATCCATAACTTCCTCCGTGAGCGCAAGTCTGAGGCATACACCCCTCCAGCCTTTGCAGACTGGGAGAACAATGACCACAGCATAGTTGAGGGAACCTGGAGGAATCAAGGGATCGGGTCTTTCCAAACAGTGGATCATCGAAGGGAACGCAGTGCATCTGTTGTGGCAAAAATGCAACGAAACCTTCTGCGTGACTACTTCGTCTCACCTGTCGGATGTGTTCCTTGGCAGGAGAAACACATTTAGTTTAGAGTATAACTTTTTGTAGTGGAGAAAACTGTTTTTTATTATGATATTTCATACTGTAGCACATTGTCATTTTTTTTTATTTTGAAGAAGAAAAGTTCCTTTCTTAAAAAGCATGGTGCTTCTGTTATTGATGTTAGCCTTTTAGGCACAGAATGATATTTATATACTGTATCTTCAGACCATACAACTTGGGTGTACTTTAAAATCATTGTTTAAAATAGCATGTAAAACTCAAGACTTTTGTTTTTTTTACTTTGTCAAACATTTATTTATAAAGTGCATACCATAAACGTACTATGGTTTCCAATAAAGTCCTGAAAGAATGACTTCATAACTTACAAAAATTTTTTAACACTGCAACAGTAACATTACTAACAGTAACGTTAGTAAACAGTAAAATAAAAATGTGTTCACACAAAGCAGCAGCAGAGTAACACTGTTTTTATTCAGATTGTTTTCCTTTTCCTTTATAGTAACAAGCAAATCAAAATAACAGCTTTTCAGAAACTTTCACTGACAGCATAGTGTGGCAATTTTTGCAAAAAGCCTTGAGGTCGAGAACCCTGAGGTGGCATATGTTGTGGGTAGGACTGTACCAGTGGCAAAGGTGTAACAATAGGATGGAATGTGTATGGTGCTGATGGTGAATGTGAGGAAGACGATATATTTCTTTCAGCATCTTGAGCATCATATATCATGTTCATAATGTTCCTTTTCAGTCTGGTTACATTAGCTGCATCTTGAAGTAGTCTTAATTCAGATGCTACCTGGTTTCCAAATGTAGTGAAAGCATCAGGTGTTGGGTCGGCCTCAACTTTTGCTGCCATTTGCTTCAACACAGCTAGCTTCTGCAGCTCAACATCAGGTACAGATCTGGCTTTGCGCTTTATTCCCCTTGTGCTTGACTCCACTGCATTTGTGCTGGCAGTTGATGGGTAATGTAAACATTCAACAGGGGAGGAGGTATGTGATGTAGGTGTTGGTGTACTAGGTGTAGACAGTGTTGTCTGCAGGTCATTGAGTGATTCTGTACTATCATCAAGATCACCGTCATCCTGGTTTTCTATGTTATCCTGCTCATTGGGTGGCAAATCAAGCTGGAAGAAAGGTAAAACAACAGTGGTGTCAGTGAATATTACAGTTGTATATAAATAGCAAATAATTAATTGTCCATTGTTGCAATCATTACTCATTACAACATACCTTAATATTTCATAATTATTGTAATCATTCTTAATAATAATAATATTAAGACTTCTTAAACTTTTATACCTCATGCAGTTACTTTTTAATACGGGGTGCACCCTACTGTTACATGTAAACATTTCATAGTACTGAATTTTTAGAATATAATTTGAAACACATTAACTTGACTGATTTATGTAGGTTCTTGCTCACAATAAAAACTGGTGGTATTTCGTGTATTAAAAGTGCAGATAAAGAAGTGACATGAAAAATATATTTAGTAAAATAGGAATGTTTTCAATATGTACATTGTGTATACAGCAAAACGTGTTTGTAGAGTAAACTTACAGTGGTCTCACATGGACGGTGAACAATATGTTTCTTTATAAAATCCATGATCCTGAGGAGCCACCTCTGCCTAGGTGTCAGGGGTTTGTTGGCACTCCCACTAGGTTTTGGTTTTACCAAAAACGCCCCAGAGAATAAGTGTTTTTTTCGCCTAAATTTAACATACTCCAATTCAAATGTTTGCCCTACACACATACAATGGAGGAAATGAAAAAAAATGGTTTCATTGTAAAGAAAACCCTTTGAACTACAAAATATGAGTGTAATTCTTTATAAATAACATTATATACTTTTCAAATATTACTATAAACACAAAAAAACAGG